CTCCTCTATTATTACAACTCCATTACTCTATTATTACTATTCTACTCTCTATTACTCAAAGAAGTAACAACTCTATGTTGTTACTACTCTTGGTCATCCCTCTTTGGGAAAGAAGAGTAGACCCAAACAAGGCTTACAAGTGGACAAGTGTGATATTTGCTCTTCTTCAAATTGTTATTAGTGCTAGAAGCAGCACCTAGAGTCTTTCAGCTGTGAGCTCCCATGACTGCTTTATCCAGAGTGCTCCCCATTCCCACAGGCTCCCAAGGGGATGTGGCTGAGGAGTTTGGAGTCCCACTGCCCTGCTCCTCACCTGCTGTCAGGATCATAAGGCCTCCTCATGGCAGATCTCCGCTCCTGCTCGTAGCGCAGCTGCTCCTGCTGCCGCCGCAGCTCCTCCCTCTCCCTCTGGATTCTCTCCTGCTCCCTCCTCCTCTCCTGCTCTATGTGCATCCTCTCCCTCTCCAGCCTCTCCCTCTCCAGGCGCTCTCTGTCCAGGCGCTGCCGTTGGAATTCCAGCCGCTCCCGCTCCCTCTGCAGCCTCTGTCTCTCATCGCGCTCGTGGATGGCTGCGAGGCGCTGCTCCCGGTCTCGCCTCTCTCTCTCTCTGATTTAAAAGAGATATTTAGTTTTTAATTGAGATTCTTCAGTCCAAGCTTTACTGCTTCTTTGTTTTTGGTTGTGTTTCTTGTTTGGTTTTGCCTTTTTTTTTTTTTAAGAAGTTTCTATGTTCTCCCCCTTCTTGCCAATTAAGTAACAGCTTAGGGGAAAATAAAAAACTCCATAAAAATGACAGATGCAAAGGTGAAAAATTCTGCATAAGTAACATAGTATCTACTCTTAGATACTAATAGTAGATAGTAGTACTATCTACTTAAGTAGATAGTCAGGTCTGAAAAAGCTTTCAGAGAGTATAGCAAGTCCTAAGACAGAAATCTGATGTACAAAAAGTATTTACAAGCTTCTGGGGAAAAACCAAGGAAATTCAAATCTAGTCAAGTGGAGGACAAAGCCTGAAAGCACCTATCTTAAGTATCTATTTAAGATATCTACTTAAGTAGATAGTCAGGTCTGAAAAAGCTTTCAGAGAGTACAGCAAGTCCTAAGACAGAAATCTGATCTACAACAAATATTTAAAAGCTTCTGGGGAAAAAAATCAAGAAAATTCAAATCCAGTCAAGTGGAAGACAAAGCCTGAAAGCACCCATGGAAGTCTGATGAGAACATTGATTTCAGCAGTAAAATCCTCCATCACTTGGCATTATGTCTGTTCTAGCAGTAATTAGTATGAAATCAATCTGAGATATCACTGCTGGAGGGTCAGCACAGTACTGCTTTGAACAAAAACACAGAGAGGTAAGGGAGTTAAAGGTACAGGTAAGAGGTAAAAAATGCCATTTAAAGGTCAGAGGTGCTGGGAACTCACCGGCGCCTCTCCGTCTCCCTGATTTCTCTCTCCCTCTGCCTCTGCCGTTCCCGCTCTCGCTGCTCCTTGATTTTATCAAAGGATAAAATATCCTGCTTTTCCTTGCTCTCCGATTTGCGGTCCTGGCTCTTTGTGCTCTGTGATGAATCAGAACAAGGCATGAGCAGAACACAGTGCATTTCCTAGGCAAACACCTACACTATGTCAAGCTGAACAAAACAGGCTGCCATGCCTTCCCCAGAGGTAAAAAACAACAGTGGAATTCCAGGGAAAAGTACCCCAAATTTGAGCAGAACTTCTAAATATTACAAATAAATACTAGAGGAACACAACCCGACTTGCACAATAACATCCCATACTCAGGGAAACACATCATCCTAACACCATTTCCATACTGCAACTCCACTTCTTCCACTAGGTCAGCCGTAGAAAAGTATAAAACAGGTGAAACAGAAGCATTTCCCCACTGCCACATCATTAAAATCCTGATGCTTTTCCAAAAGTATAATTGTACCAAATTGTACCCCTTCATCTCTGAGCACATAAATCTATTTGACACCTATTTTTACACAAAAGGTTCTCTGGAAGTTGGCCTTACCCTTTCTTTTGATGCAGAAGTTTTCACACTAATAACTGGCTCTCCTTTAGATTTATCCATTACCACTGTCCTCTCTGTTCCTCGACTTGCTAGAAAACAAAACAGAGCCAAAAATAAATGGTACAAAAGACATTCAACAATTCTTTCAAGATTCAAAACTGTGAAGATAATAAATAGTAAAAAGTTATTTTAATGAGGTCTTTAATAACTTATGGAACTTATTCATGATTTAAATAGCTTGCCAAGATTTGGCTAACATGAGGATGGGAGTAGTAAATTTATCACAAAATTACAGCAGTATTTTCTGGCAGGGATAACAGCTAAAAGAACACAAATTTAACTTAATTCTTCTGTCCACAAAATACATCTTTAATCACAGCTTAAAAAAAAAAGCTCAAAAAAGTACAAAAACCACACATAGTGTCAGGTCTAAACCCAGTGACAATTCCGTAAGAATTATGGAAACCGTTTTAAGTTATTAGAAATTGAAGTAAAAATTTTCAAGGTGTTTTCTGATGTTTGTGCCAGTTTTACTAAGCAAGCTCCTTTTTACTGAATTATCAATCACATCTAATAATGTACAAGTATCCTTGAAAACATTTCTGAAAGACAGCCGGCATCACCTGATTTGCTCGCCCTGGATCTATCAGAAGATCCAGTCTTTTGTTCATCCTTTTCTTTTCCTTCTTTTTCATCTTTTTCTGACTTCTTAGCATCCTCTTTTTTGTCAATCTTCTCCTCCTTCTTAATACCAACAGATCTACAAAAAGCAGGAAAGCAAAATGCCTCTTTCAAAAGCAACAAACCACTTGAAAAACCAATGTTGGAAGTATCACTCACAAACCACACAGTCAGTCTACCAGAAAGACAAAATCCTAGAAATATTTGTCAATTAGAAGAAGAGTCCAAGACAGAGTCAGATCAGAGGACAAACGACTGGTAAAAATAATGGTTTTTATCTATAAATAATTTGATTTAGTATCTCCTAATATAGCTAACAAGTTTTTATACTGACACTAAAGAGCTTTTTATTTCTGAACAGAGAACCAGTTAAGATGCCCTTACTACTGTAAAACATCAACTTTCCAAGCATTATTCCTACTTCAAATGCAGGATAAAACATTAAACCAAGACTTATTACAGCTACTGTTCAACTTGGTCACCTGGTTATATTTGAAATAAGTGGTCTTTAAGTATCATAAAACACAAAACAACACTTTACTTCTCAGATTTGGACTCTGCAGAATGGTGCCTGTCTTTTTCCTTCCTTGTTTCACCTTCCTTTTTGTCAGAAGGCTTTTTTCCTGCTGGTTCATTTTTTGCCTAGAAATTCAGCCAGAAAGAATTCCATAGTCAGAGACAGAGATTAAAACTGCATGATTTTATTTTCTTACAATGTCATGAAATAGCTGCCACTTACCTTTTCCACAGAAATCATTTTACCATGCAGCTCTGTTCTGTGGAGGTGATTAATGCACTTGGTGGCCTCCTCAGATGTTGACATTGTCACAAAGCCATAGCAGCGAGCGCCAGGGCTGCGAGCGTTTGTCACCACTTTTGCACCAACCACCTTTGGGAAAAACCAAAATATTCTGTGTTTGCAGGTCTGTCACTAAATAAATTCTAACTTAATGATCATTTCATAGAACAGTTTGGATGGGAAAGGACTTTTAAAAGCCATTTAGTTCAATCAATGCCCCCTTCAATAATGCAGCTCAGAAAATTCATCTTCAAGTTGCTGAGCAGGGCAGTAGCTTAAGGCAGATTTATACAAAGAAGGGAGAGTGAGATTGTAAAAAACAATATAAAATTGAATAAAAATTACTACCACTTTCCCTTTCCTTATAGGACATCTGTACCCACAGATAACAATCTCTGACAGGCAGTGGCAGTTAGTGAGTGACAAACATTTAATATTACATTCAGAAAAGTATTTGGGAGAAGGGGACGTGGTCACACAGAGTTCCCTTCCACAACTTCTGCTCTTGTATGCCAGCAGGCACTGCAAAACAAGTGGGAGCCTGTCCTCAAAGACTGGGTTTCTCCAGAGAATACCCCTTGAAATGGAATATTTTAAAACAGCATTAATTCCTGGATACTCAATTAGACTATTACATGATGATCTACCACTCTCTCCTGTCAAGAATTGCCTCATTCTCACAGGTATCTGCACAGATATTCTCTGCAAATTCCATCTCTGCTCCCACCCCTCCATTGCAATCTTCTTTATTGAACTGTGCTGCTTTCAGATATGGAGTTTCAAAAGAACACAAAGTTAAGAACTCAGCCTGCCCTGTACTCATGGGGGAAAATAAGAGTGAAATTTAAGGTCAGCATTTTAAACTGACAGAATGGTTTGTTCATTTATACATCCACTACATACCTTTCCATACTTGCTGAAAAGGTTCTTCAAATCTGTAGCTCTAGTAGAGGAGGAAAGTCCACTAACCCACAAATTTCTGCCAGAACCACTCCCCACACGGCCTGGGGTACAAAAAACATAAAAGACCATGTGAAACACAAATGCAGCAGTGCAAAATTCAGAGTCCTAACTCCTCCACAATTTTCCTTCATAAAACTCTCCATAGTAAATGTACATTTGAACAGCCTAAGAGTTTGTAGCTACAGATTTTCTTCCTGCACTTCAATTACTTTAAGGAGAATTACAAAGTATCAAATGTTAACTCACAAAAAAAAACTTATTTAAAACAAATCTCAACTCTGTTTGTTAATAATGTTACAGAAGTTACAAAGAACTGATATTTTAGTTATATTTTGAAGGACTATGATACAACTGCATTGAGGGTTCACTGAATTAACAGTCCTCTTTTTTATTCCAGATCATTTGAAAATAAAAAACCCAAAAAATCTTGCATCCTCAAACATGCACCTACCTTTCTCATCTTTTGTGACTGCCTTTGTATCTTTGTCTTCAACAGGGCTAAAGACAAAACACCACATTACTCAAGAGATCATATACAAAAAGACCATTAATTCTAGACAGCACAACTAAAACTGGATACCTACCAGTAAATTAGTTCCAAAATAAACACTATTACTGGCAATTTTCTAGAAGAGTGACAGGAAATAGGGATTTGTACCCCTAAACGGACAATTCTGTTTCCCACTTCTTCCTGGCCACACCAGCACATTAGATGACAGAAATAAGAGTAATTTGGGGAAAACAACCTTTCAAACCAGCACATTAGATGACAGAAATAAGAGTAATTTGGGGAAAACAACCTTTGAAGGTTGAGGAAGGACAAGAAATCAAACCCACTGTTCTTTAGGAAAAAAAAATATATCTACACATGGAGAAATAAAAGAGACCTTTAGGAATAGGCTACAATTTCATCAGTCTCGGAGGCCAATTGAAGGAAACAGCTTATTCGCATCACTTAAGGACCAATGATAAAAGATAGCATCTGGTCTAGAACGGAGAAAAAACAAACCTCTTTTTCTGATCACCGCCCTCACTGGCTGAGGACTCTTTAGTGGCAGGGGAAGATTCCTCTGAATTAGCTTTGTCTTCTGCTCTCTTGCCATCTTCTTTGCTATCTCTGGCTTCGGCACCTGCGCCTTTCACCGCTGCCTCCCCACTAGAGGCTTCCAGGCCTTGGGAGCGTTTGCTACTCTGATCGCTTAGGGTCTCTACCACTACACCTTCAGAGTCCGGGGCCTCTTCCTCGGGGCTCTGTTCACTTGTCTCCCCTTTTGCTACCACTAAACGCTTTGCTTCCTTCCTTGCCAAAGCTTGGGCCGATTTGCTGTCCAAAGCTAAAGCATCTTCCTCCAGCTGAGCGGCAGCGAGAGCGTCCTCTTCCTCAGCCAGCCTCTTGCCTGGCCCCGCGTTACTGGCTTCCTGCGCACGCGGCCGCTCCGCTTCGGGAGGTTGTTCTTCGTTAAGTAGCTCAGATTTACAAGTTTCCCCCAAAATGTCGAGTATTTTCTCATTTTCTACGGATTTAACAGGAATAGAACGGCACAAGATTTAATCACCAGGGAAATACAGCAAATCACAAATGTGGAACTGGCATGGCTGCCACACTAACACCAAGAGAACTGCTAAGCTACACAGAGATTGGAAAACCCTAGTGTACACAGTGTTACGCCTACCACGCTAACTGCTCTCTCACACCCTGCCAAATCAGCCCTAGCACCTCAACAGCCAAGAAAAATGCCCCCACAGATTTAACAAAAAACTTCAGGCTCAGCCTTCATATTCTTCAGCAAATCGTTCAGCTCTGTTTCTTCTCTAGTTAGCTTCCAGAGTCCGAGATGCTTAACTGAACGTATCAAGGCACTGAGAGTTCAATTTTTCCAAATTTCTGTTGAGTTCTTTTAGCAGAGACAGTCCAACATGAGAACTGGGCATCTTCTGATGGTTCTGAGTGTGCATGCAGTCCAGACAGTGAGTGGGATCTGTAGCAAATTCCTGATGGCAGCGTGCTCCTTCTTCTGAAGTCCAGTCACTCCTGAATTTCTGTTCTGCACCAGAGCTTTGCACTGCCTACACTCCTGTATTTATATTTATTCACAGAACCACTGTACAGTGTGATATCACAAGATCTGTTTTCAGAACCTTTACATCTTTAAGGCTCATTCCTTAACTTCACTCTGCAGTAACAGTTCTAGGGAACCATTTCATGGCATTAAACAAGTTTTCCAAGGGTGGTTATTCACAGATCTGGTGATATGACTGGGTTTCCAATCTCTATGACCCTGCATGACCTGGACTTTCCACCATAATAACGTACACTACAGTAATGCATTAAAAAAAAGAACCAAAAAAAACCAAACAGGGACGCAAAAAGCCTAAATGAAGAATGAAACTGTTTAAATACCCAGGAATTTTTTTTTCATTAAAAAAATAAATCCAAGTAACCACATAAAAACAAACAGTACCTGGCTCCAAAGGTAACTCTTCAAGTTCCTGTAGTGAAAAAGATTTTAAAAAGGAGAAATATCATTATTTCATAAGCAAGATGCAATTCTGAATGACATTTTTTATCAACCCATTACAGGAGAGTATTTAGTGAAAGCATTACTATAATTGAGCCTATTTCAGCTTTGAAAACATTGAAATTTAAATAAATTTCTCAGAAGAAAAATTTAAGATGAGTTTTTAACATCCTCAAACTTTATGAAGTCTGTGAAAACTTTAAAACCTCTCAAATTCAGCCACCTGTTGAACACATGGTACACATTCACATGGATAAATAAATCAATAAATGTAAGCAGCACAGAGGAAAGATTATCTTCATGTTACCCTTCTCTACCCTGTGTGTTTTGAAGTCTCCTTTCTGAAAACAGCATCAACAGAAACACCAGCTTCACCTGGAGCTGGTGCTCTTAACCTACCAGGAGTGATCTGGAAACAAGGGCAGCATTTCAGGAATAGACAGTTCCAGCTTTCTTCTCACCCTGGGATATGTACATTTTTAATGGAAGTTAAACACAAAGGAAGGCATTGAGCTGGTATTTACATCAGATAAAAGCACATATATGATCTGATGAAGAAATCTTTGTTTCTATGAATAAATCCAAAGGCATTAATTCCCATTCTTTGCAGAGGAAGAATGCATCCACTATACACACACAGTTTCACCATACAGTATTATATAGTGCATTATTTTATGCTTTTTTTTGTTTGTAAAGAAAAACTGGCTACCATTTACCTTTATTATGGTTAAATCTGATGAAGAAGCATCTAAACTGTTCCCAACATCTTCAAACTCTACCTTTAAAAAATAAACAGGAGACAGCTTGTTATTTATAAAGGAATATTGTGAGTGAAACCTGAGTGAGAAAATGAAGATTTGTATTTGCACTGACAGCTCTTACCCAGCACCCAAAACAACCAATAATGGTAAAAACTGAGTGATAACCCCCACTAATTAAATAAAACATCTCATTATCTCCTAACTATGATGGTGATGGTCAGCTCACAAAAATCTTTTAAGCATAGGGATTCCAACAGCAAAATCTGATTTTTATCCCTGTTATTTAAAGCCAACAACAAAGAGCCAAAAATTCTACAGGACTTGGTAATTATTTCCTTCACTGATGGGAGCTGACCTGGCTTCAAGACATTTACTCACTCAAAAATAACCCCTTTTATTCTGAGTATTTCCATTTGATTTGTGTAGGACAAGGATGTGCCTGGGGATAGGAGGCCAAGCTTATTTGTGCAGCTTTAGAAAAAAAATACATAAATTTAGAATCTCACAGTCAATGTGGACACACAACAAAGAGCAATACTCCCCCATTAAATGGGGCAGAAAGAACTTTTTTTAAATGCTGTTGTACATTTCAGGAGATAAAGCACTTGATTTATCTCAAGGGGATAGGGATTATCCTCTAGCCCAGTGTCAACAGCCAGATAAACACAGAAAGTCAACATAATAACATTTTCAGCAACTGAATAACTGCAAGACCCAATCTTAGCAGAAAAATAACATTAAATATAATTTCCTGGATGGTGCTGTTGAGTTGAGAAGAAAATAAGCTACACTATTTGTATGCCTCACATGTTCTCTAAAATAAAAATATGAAAATAGGAATAATATATACATTATAATTAATAGGGTGAAGCAGAGTTCAAAGCATGATTAAAAACAAATGCTCTGTAAACTGTTATTAATACAATCACATGTGTACCAACAACATTTAAGTATTTTAAAAATTAAGACATGTATTTCTACAAATATATAAAAAGAAAAGCAATGACCATAAGGACCACTACAGCTCCAAATTTTCCCAAGTACTCTTTAGCTCTTTTCCCAAGTACTCTTTTAGCTTTAGCATTTTGCTATTTAACCCAGAAATATATAAATTTAAAAAAGAAAACCCTGATTCCACACACATAAGAGATGCATACCATCACTATTGGTATTTCTCTTGGTTCTTCTTTAATTTCTGAAAATTGTGGGGATGCCTCCAAGTTACCTACAGCAAACTCTGTAGGCTGATCTGGAAATTCTTTCATTTCTGCATCAGCATTTTCTTTGCTATCAGACAGTGAGTCAAGAATGTTATGGGCACTGTAATCATCTCCACAATCTACTGCATTGCCATTGTCAATCTCAGCTTCATCTAACACACTGATATCCATCATGTCAATGTCCTGCAAGGTGTCCAAACTTGCTTCAATATCATCCTGTGAAAAGAAAAAAAGGACATTGTCACAGTCAGAGTGACTTGACAGCCACCTGCCAGCATCCCCTCCAGAGGCAGCCCCTGTACCTGTCCATCTCCAGAATCCTCCTCCAGGCCATTGTCCTCCACTCCTTCTTCATCTGCTCTACGTCCTAACAACAACATCAGCATTAGAATGAGAGCAGAAATTATAATTGTACCCCTCAAGCTTTGCTTTTTTATCAGAGTTGGTGTTTCCTTCAGTTTTTGCCCTGTTTGTGAGCACCCACTAAGTGACAAACAAGTCACAGTCCAGCAGCTGGCAGCAGCTCAAGCTCTGTGACCTCCCCACAACATTGGGCTCAGCTCAGATTGCAGCAGTTTATTACCTCAACATTTATGAGAAGAAAAATAAACCAACCAAACAAAACACAGCATAAAATACTGAAATAACCCCACTTTACCTGTGGGTTTCACTGCAATGCTCTGCCCACCAGCTGGATGGGAATTATCCCAATTAATGAATTACTGAAATTACTGAAAACACCACACCAGATTCAGCACCAATGAGCAACTCCTCAAACTCAGAGCTGAGCAGCTGTTTGACCTTTTATGCATTTTATTTTCCTCAAAAACTACAAGCACATTACAACTCAAAAAAGCCAAGAAGAATATTTCATCTGTTTCCATCCCCACATTAAAGGTGCTGTAACAGACATCAGGTGTTTTTCTGAGACTTGGAAATCAATATGATTTAAAAGATCTCTTTCACCCAGAGTTGTGACATTCAAGATTTCACATTTTAGCCTGCATTTTAGCAATTGCACCATCACTCCAAATCAGAGGTAATGATAAAAATAAAACAAATTAGCTAGCAAAACAGTCGAGTCTCAACTCACCAATTTACATTTCACGTAAACCAAATCTAGTAATAAAAAGTCTCTCTAACTACCTTTGTTGGTTCTTCTTGGAGTTTTCTTCATGATATTTTCTGAAACCACTGGAATTTCATCAGGATTCCCTCCTTCCTCCTCAATAGCCTAATAGGGGCAAAAGAGAAAGATATAAAAATAGACATTAAAAATTTCATTTGTACATTTTTGTTGAGTTTGAGAGCTGCACACCA